CTACACGACTATCACACTGTTATCCCAGATTTTTTAATTTTACCACTCGGACATAAATCCACAGTTACTGGGCCAAGTAACAAATAAATTAAAACCTTTGTAGCCAGCCCATCACTGAAAACTTGGATACTTGGCTCCAAAACTTGGATACTTGGCATCAAGCTGATGTTATAATGAGGGTGGAGTTCACTACAATAGCCAGTTTAATGCATCTTAATGTAATAAAATGCTTTTATGTCATATCTTGGACAATAAATGCTGCAGTAAAGCTTTAATAAAACAGGTCTGTTTGGTAAAAATGAGTCTTGCACATAGAACAAAACATTCATTGTCACTTTACTGTTTAAACCTTTATTATTGCCATTTTCTTGGTACAATGGGCTTTTATGCACCAAACAGCTGTATTCATCATGTTTATTTAGAAGGCATTCATTGTAGTGGAAAAATCTGCAGCACAAAAATCTTGGTTAAGTGCAAGAGCACTTTGTGGATGCTAGAATTGTTTTTTTCTTTTCTGTCCAGTTGCTTTGGTCAGCATGCAAGTCACATACACAGGCACTGCCATGCAGACTTGCAAGTACTTAATAGCAACTTTTCATGAGCTGTCTACTTTTCCAAGCAACCTCCTCTGAAAATTTTTCTACCGCACAGCAACATGCTGCACACATACTTATTTTACTCCCTATGATCCTATCATTTCTCAATCTGTTGCTATTTTGGCCTCTCATTAGGTCACTTTCCAAATATTGTGCACAGCTATGTGTCAATCATTGTCACAGCTCAGCCCCAGGCTATGCCAACCCAGGACAAAACTAGGAAGAAAAATGCCAACCAAAGCAAGCATTATGTAGGAAAGTGTCAACAGTTAAACTGTGCAAAGTCATTTGTGTTCTGAAGGTAGTGTAAGCCTACTTGATTGAAAAAAAAAAAAAACAAAAAACATATAGCACTGTTGCTTCCCAAAATATTTTTGCACCGTCTAAATATTTAGCATTTCCTGAACAGTATCTGAAACTGGAGACATAAACAGAAGTTAGAATATCAAGAATCTGACATTGGAGGAAACCCTCATGAGTAACTCCTGCCAAAAGACATTAAAGTTTCCAACTTCTTGCAAAAATATTAAATCTAATATATTGACTTGAGGGGCACAGCATCTCTAAAGCCCTTTGATGTCCTGGAATGAAAGATGCCAAGCAAGTGAAACTTATTAATGAACAGCAATGGATTTTTTAAGGGCCTCTTAATCAGCTACTGGCTAGACATTATTGTAATCAGAGGCAGGAAAACACATTTGAACAATTGGCAATTTATGATTATTCCATAAATATGAAGTCTCCATGCAGAATCAAATGGCTCCCTGTTTCCTGACTGTTGAACCCATTCTGTTTTGTAGTGCTGACGCTCCCAGCTGTAACCTCAAGAAGTTGTTTACAAAAATAGGAGTAAGAGAAGGTTGCATGGAAGTGTTCTGTAGACGAGTAGCACCTAAGTAGAAATACGATATAGGTAAGTCTCAGAAAAGCCTCAAAAGTGATGGTCAAGGGTGGCATTTACTATTAAGTGTTTCAGAATATGCAACAGAAGCAGCAATTTGAAAAAGGCTTACTAAACTTGGAGTAGGCTGTGTGAAACAGTCAGAGATGAGATGAGGTTTTTTTGGGGGCAGGGGGAAGAGTGAAAGAGAGAGAACTAGATAGAAATGTCTCCCAGAAGGAAGGGGGAGCAGCTTTCTGTGGGGAAAAACTGAAGTCCTGGTTATTAAGGATGCAATGGAAGAGAAAGAGGGTTAAAAACTTCTCCAAGGGGTCTGCTCTTCAGGTAATTACAGGCCCCCATAGTTGCATTCACACACATTTTTCTTTTTTCATACCCAAGCAAAACCCCCATTTTGAACTGAATGGATTTGAAATTGAGCCAACCATCAACTCTTTGCCACGAGTAAAGCCATGAAAGGCAAAGCGGGATTCCTAGCAGCATCAGGAAATTAGAATGTTTGCCGTGAAATGCAGAATGACAAAATATACAACTTGGTATTGACAAGGGTACAGTTTGGGGTTTGAATTTCATTGCCTAATGACTTTGTGAGATTGCAATGTATTTTTTTTAGTTTGCATCCTTTTTTTAAAGTGAAAGGCATTACATGGAAAAAAGCACACTGGGCTTTAGACTGAATTTTGAGTAACTCTTCTTTGAGAAATAGTGGATTCTATCAACCTGAAACTAAGTTTTATTTTCTAAAACAGTCTATTATGAAAGGGGGGGGGGGAAATTTGATAGAAAAGCTTGATTCTGTTTGTTCAGTAGTTCTTTCTAGTCACACCTTCAAAAATTTCCATAACATTTAGCCAAATATCAACTGGTGCTTTTAACAGAACATTCCTTATGTAGTCCCCTCTGACAGAATAAAATAATGTTGGACCCTTTAAAACTGGTTAGGCTTGGAAGCATTCCTTTTAAACTTACCCCTTTCAGTTTTTAAATGAATTAACTGGGAATGTTTTGAAACTCGGCACATAAGAGCTGCCATACTAACTCCCAACTGCACTCAGTATCAAATGCTATAGAACAATGTTTCTCACCTTGTGGCTCATGACCCAAAAGTGGGGCACGAGAATGTATGAAAGGGCCACGAACGATCTTTAAAAATAGACTCTCCTTTAAAGGAGAGAAGGGGGGGAAACCAGGGCTTTTCCCTTGCAGGCTGGCACAGTTCCAGTTGGCGAGAGGCTGCTTGGGGTGCCCACTGCCTTGCATGCTGAAGGGCCGGGGCCTGGGGGCAGTGGGTCAGGAGTGAGGGGCACTGGGTCTGGACTGGGCACGGGTGTTTACAAATGGGTCCTGGTACAAAAAAGGTTGAGAACCACTGCTATAGAGGAAGAAGCAAGAAGCCACAGTTGGCAGGTGTTAAGAAGGCTGCTTCCCACTCATATTAGGTCTTATCCTGATCTTTAATAGATAAAAGGAGGCTTAAGTAAAGGCTGAAGCAGAAGGTGGGCAACATTTCCATAGTCCTTGATTCCATTCCCTATTTATGTAACACTGACTGTACTGACTTCCTGTGGCTGTGATTTCCACAGCTTCATCCCTTCCCTGCGCGGCCTTGTCTCCCTCCTTCCTTTCCATGTGGAACATTTCCCTCCCCCTTGCTGCATGAGAGGCAGGGAGCAGATTCCTGATGTTGCCTCTCGACCAGCTGTTACTTCCACCGTTTACCAGCTTCTTCCTACAATTCTCTCTCACACGAAACAGTCGTGACTTCTCCCTCTTTTAGTTACAAACTTGCGTTCTCCGTGCCTGGGGCTGAAAGGGCTCTACGGCCCGTTCCCTCAGCGCAGAGACCCATGCGGGGGGCTGCAACCCTCGGGGGCCCGAGCTGCGCAGCCGGTCCCAGGGCGGCGGCCCGGGGCTCAGCCCCTGCCTCCCGCACAGGGCGGCGGAGCGGCTCCGCTTTCCAGGGGCAAAACGAAGAGCCGAGGGGAGGGGGCAAGGGCAGGCGAAGGCGAAGGCTCCGCACGGGCGGTGCGCCCGCCCCGGGATTGCGGGGAGCGGTGCAG